ATGGTAAAAGATGGCCAAGGTATTACACTATCAGACTTTATAAATACATAGCTGATTTGTATTTTTCATTATACGTTCAATAATCATTATATTAATTATACAATTTACAGTGTCAAATGCATGGAGTGGTTCCAAATTGTTGATAAATGAAGACATCCCTGAAATTCAAGATTTTATGTCTAAGTATGGATTTTATTTATTTATTTATATTCAGATTATTATACATAATTTTTAATTTAAAAAACAATCTTATTTCTATAGGTTGCCTACTAATGAACAGAAGGAGAAGCCTACTCAATCTGCAAAATCTCTTTCTAATTGGTCTGGTGGTTCTCAGTATTCGCCAGTAGAAAGGTTTGTTCATAATGCGAAATGTATGTCCTTAAGTCAGTTCTGCAAAATCAAACATGTAAGTTGAATACTATAGAGCCAAATTTATCCTTACTATTACAATTATATTGTTTGCTTTTTGAAATTAATATCATTTTTGATTTGCTTTTAGGAAACTTTATGTGTTACTGTAGCAACCACATTGAAATTTGTTGTCTCAAAGTATGGATGGTTTTATTATGGCTGCACAAAGTGTTCTTCGAAGGCACCTAATCCTGAAAAAGCTTATGAATGTTCATGTGGGCAAAAAGTCGAACAACCCATACCAAGGTACATATAATCTAGATGAATTGTAAATAAATTTGGTAATGGATTTGTTATTAATCATATTATTTTCTTCGTTTAAAATACTATAGGTACAAGATTGAGATATATGTTAGCAATGGTGAATCAAAATATCAATTTGTATTCTGGGATTCCGAATGTGCTGCTATACTTTGAATGACTGCTGAATTTATGCATAACTCTATGGTGGAGGTACATTGTTATACATAAGTTAAAATGTTAATAGTTTATCGAGTTGTAAAGTTCAGATTATCGCTCATGATTGATATTTTATTTTTCCATTAGAATGGAGAAGATGATCCAATGGTTTATCCTGATGAGCTTGAAATGATGTTGAATAAGAAAATGGCTTTTAGAGTTAAGGTGCAGCCAACGTTTTCCCAAGCGTCTGTTTGGAAGCTTTGTCATGATGAAGCCTTTGTTAAAGAGATTGAAAATGACTACATAGTAGAAGAGGTATAATATTCACTTAATTCATGTATTATTTAAACATTTAACAAGTATAATAAATATTCGATGTTTCAATGTGCAGAATCAGTCTAAAATTGAATATGCAAAGGTGGTCCCTAACAAGGAAAATTTGGAAACTTCCGCAGTAAGTATCTTCATTTGTTAACATAATAATTTGCTATGATAAATATTGTATTATTATAATTCATTTTATATCTGACAATTGATTTTTTATATTGCAAGCAAACATTATCTACATCTGGTGAAAATGATCCAGAATCAATCATTCTAATGACTCCGGCTAAGGATGTTGTAATTACTGACAAGGGTGAAGAAGTTGATTTTGAAGCGTCTGGCGCTACGCAATTATCCGGCACCAGACCATCCAAGAAAGTAAAGATAGAACCATCTTCTTAATTAGAATTTTCAGAAATTCGATATTGAAATATCTTTTATGAACTTTTTAGCACCAGAATGAGTTTAAGTTTGAAGTTGTTAAGAACATGATATGTTTTGGTTGTAGGATGTATTCTTACTTTTTTGAAGTGTTTATTTTGTGGGATTACAATTGACATTTATATTTCATGTATGGTTTAAAGGATGATAATGAGTATTTAATTCATGTGTGTGAAATTATTCAAAATCCTATGTTGTTATGTTGAACATTGTGTTTTGTGTGTTCTTTCCACCACAAAATTTATATGAGTATCATAACTTTTTTGAAGTGTTTATTTTGTGGGATTACAATTGACATTTATATTTCATGTATGGTTTAAAGGATGATAATGAGTATTTAATTCATGTGTGTGAAATTATTCAAAATCCTATGTTGTTATGTTGAACATTGTGTTTTGTGTGTTCTTTCCACTACAAAATTTATATGAGTATCATAACTTTTTTGAAGTGTTTATTTTGTGGGATTACAATTGACATTTATATTTCATGTATGGTTTAAAGGATGATAATGAGTATTTAATTCATGTGTGTGAAATTATTCAAAATCCTATGTTGTTATGTTGAACATTGTGTTTTGTGTGTTCTTTCCACTACAAAATTTATATGAGTATCATATCTTCAAATGTTAATAAGTATTTTAAATGACAAAATGAATTTTTTTAATAATAAATATACTGATTTTTAAAGTGGTCTTTCTGAGATGTCAAACCCAGAATATGAAAAGAGGGAGAAGTAATATGAAACGGTTTGATGAAAATTAGGGTTTTATTTAATTGAATAAATTGATATTATTATTATTATTATTAATATTGTTATTTTAATTGAATAAATTGATATTATTATCATTTACCCACTTAATAACTCAAAATATTCCAAAACCACTTACAATATTATACCATTTTAAATGTAATTGATACAGATATGCAACTTCCAATACACGTATTTCAACCTTAAAAAATCAGTATATCCACACCTTTCACTTCAATATTTTTTTGCTTATATTTGAAGCAAACTTTCCCAAAAATAACCATCATTAATGCTCTACTTTAACATCACATCAAACCTATATCTATCATACTTTTCAATAAAGATAGAAACCAAATTTGAATAATATAATATTAATTTTTTTCAATCTAATAAATTTATTTCATTGCCCTATAAGATTACTAAAATACAATTTTAAATTAATTCCAGGTACAATATTCTGTTTGGATTCATATATTTAAAAAAAAATCATTATGTAATTGCAATTTTTATTAATTCATTCTGTACATTGACAATATTTTTTCTTAATACTGTTTTTTTCTTACATTGACAATATTTTTTCTTACCTATTTATACTACTAAAAAATATTACAGTTATTTTATTGTTGTTGCAATCTTATCATTCCAAAACGAAATCAATATCCTGAAATCAAATTAATTATTATTGTAGTTTTTTTTTGCCAAATATTATCGTTGCTTGATTTTCTTTAAATGACAAAATGAATTTTTTTAATAATAAATATTACCGTTATTTTATTGTTGTTGCAATCTTATCATTCCAAAATAAAATCAATATTCTGAAATCAAATTAATTATTATTGTATTTTTTTTGCCAAATATTATAGTTGCTTGATTTTCTTTAAATGACAAATTGAATTTTTTAAATAATAAATATGAACCACTTAAATTGTAGGAGCATGTGTTTCTTTATGGAAATTGCAAATGAGAGAACGTTGGAAAATATCAAATATCCAAATGCTTCTGACACAACAACATCGGTAAATGTGTAGGAACTTGGGAAAACTATAGATAAACATCCTCTAATGAAATTCCTTTAGATTTTAGGGCTATATTAATACATAGGTTGATGAAAAACTTTTCATTTCCCTATATTACACATATCCACATGTTACGTAATTGTCAATTATTTTGGATGGAACAGACGAATTTTCGTACCATATATATATATATATATATATATATATATATATATATATATATATATATATATATATATATATATATATATATATATATATATATATATATATATATATATATATATATATATATATATATATATATATATATATATATATATATATATATATATATATATATATATATATAACATGCACCTTATATATTATATATTAGCATTTCAAGTATTGTTCCAAATTCAAGAAATGAACTTATCATGTTATATATGATTACTTCCTTATATATTATATATTATAAATGATTATATATTATATATTATATATGATTACTTCCTTAATATAGTATACAAAAAAATTAAGCAAATTATATTACTATAAATTAATAATGTTTTACTTTATTATGTCCCAAACTGCAAAAAGTTATTTGTGGAAATTTTTTAAACCCATTTATTGATCATTTAACATCCACTACATTAAAAAAACTCTTATACAATAAATTTGTGTACGTTGATCCAAGCATATATATATATATATAAACAAAAAAATATATTATATTTTAATTTTTTTAAAATAAATTATTCTAGTTGCGCGACCCGTGTGAACGCACGGATCCTTTACTAGTCTATATATATATATATATATATATATATATATATATATATATATATATATATATATATATATATATATATATATATATATATATATATATATATATATATATATATATATATATATATATATATATATATATATATATATATATATATATATATATATATATATATATAACACAATCAAATTTAAGCCATTTTATTTAATAATTGTTGCTTAATATAAAGAGAAATTAAATTAGAAGTACTATGTTATATTAATCAATAAATAGACAAACAAGTCAAACAAATTAAAAGTACTATGTTATATTAATCAATAAATAGACAAACAAATCCGTTTGACGCTTAACAAATTTAACATTAAAGGTAAAAATAGAATATAAAAGATTCCTAATATATAATAAGTTAAATTCAAAGTTGCCACGCCATGTTGATTAAAATGAATTGCTTGAACCACAATTTTAAAAATGACTTTCAAAAATCATATAATCTAATACATTTAGATAACTGTTTAAACTTCTTCTTTCATAGATAAGGCTTCGTCTTCTATGATAAACAAAAAGCCAAATTCCCAAGATATACCTCAAATGATCTCAAATTATGTATCTACCTCCAATGGATAGTACTTCAATACATCTCATTAGTTGAAGTACTAATATCAATAGTATTTATATACGACAAGTTGTAATATTATTAAATAGATTTGTGATAAAAAAGATCGTGTGCCTTTAAAAAAATCCTTAAATGACTAACGTGTCAATATTTAGTATAAGAATACAAAAGATCATAAAGTAAATATATTGGCTATAGTTTCTTAAGTCTATAGGAGATTCATATAAAATTAAAATTCTTTAATTTATTTGAAATAAATATTAGTATAAATTATTCCGGAACAATATTTAAAGACTAAGACACTGAAGAGTCGTAGGAAAACAAAAAACGTGGCATTATAAGTATATTCTAGAGTGGCATGCTAGTGCGTTCCTATCAAAGAGTATCTTTGTCTTCTCCACTTATCTTGAAACTAAAACTACATACGCAACAAACATTCTTTTGGTATTACTTGTCATCATATGATAAGATTAACTGAACCTGCTCTCGGGGTTATTCAAATCTAGACGACTTATTTCTTATAATAGCATAAAAATTAATATCTCACATTTTCTAATTTTTGTTTCTTATTAAGAAACTTTGGTAGGTTGGTGTGGAAATTTTTTTTGGGTTGAGTTGGTGTGTCTTGGATTAATGAAGAAATTTGTTGTAATCATGTGCTAATTTGGTTTGTAAAATTGAGAGGAAGATGTTCAAAAAAGTCTAGTTATATTATTTGGTTTATTGTTTGTTGGTGTATTTTGGTGGTCAAAGAATTATATATTTTCAATAATAAAAGTGGGAATTTCATGGTAATTATGTAGAAAATCCTAATCTTCTCATAGTGGTGATTGGTTGTCAGTAGACTCAAATCGTAGAATTAAATGTAATTATTATGAATGGTGTAAGTGTCCATTTAATTTCCTTTCAACGATTCTTGTTTTATGAAGGCGGTGTTTAATTTGTACATTGGGTCGGAGTATTCTTAGTACATTTTGGTGGATGGATTCTTCTTATAAAAAAATGGTTTGTTTTAGTTTAAAAAAATATATTTTTTATATATTTTTAAATATAATTTTTACAAAAATATTTTTCAAAATATTATGAGTTATTTATTTAT